TACACAAACTTGAGGCAAAAAGCAGAGTTCTTTCTTGTATGGGTGGCAAGTGGGAGAATGAATCTTCCTAATGACTTCCTTCTGATGAATTCTTGTTGGAGAAGAAACATTCAAACAGCAACCCTGTGGTCATCTGTTAGCCCGAGAAGAGGCAGGGCCTAGAGCTCTTACTCCAGCAGTAAGGACTCAGGGTGGCATTCTGTAACAGACAGGGCGCTCTCAGACACCTAAACTCCAGAGGATAGGGTACAGAATGCCAGGCAGTCTGGTCTATAACCCTGGGATCATGAGATTCTAAAACTTTCACCTCCTAGCTAAGAAACATATTTGCAATTACTGACCACAGAGACAGCTCTCCTGAAAACATCATTTCCTCCAGATGATCTCACTTGGGGCTAAAATAGTACCCCGGAGTCTTTGTAAATGATAAGCATACATGTTACTTAAAATACTTTGTTTTATCTCATTGACTAGGAGCAAGCAAACCTACCAAACTAAGTTTGCCAAAAGTCCACTCCCACAAAACTTGGAGCTGAATCAGAATAATTAGTGCAGAAGTAATAACATCGTGAGCAGGATGACCCTGGATGGACAGGACATGCCCACTGGACAGACCAGCAGCTGTGGCCTGGGTCTCCAGGTGAGACAGGTGGAGCACCCTCTTTCTTCGTGATTCCAGATTTTATAGTATCTTAAGGAGTCTATAAAAGACATCAACAGGGTAACCTCTTTGCAAGGCTAGTTATCTCAGTGTTCACCCTCTGAATTAACCCAGCCTTTCAGGGGTCTAAAAACAGTCCTGTCCCTGGCTCAGCCATTCATAACTTTAAGGTGCATCCTATAGCAAGCATCAGCCACTGGGTTCAGCTGACTGTGGTCCTGGCCGCTCATCCTACCATAACCTCTCAGCATGACAAGGAAGAATCAAAGCTGTTCCTATTTAGTGCTAAATCAAGCACAGATGCCTGTCTAACTTCCATAAACAAAAATAAAAATTCAAAGAATACAGCTTGGCCCAACGTTCCAGGCAAATGAGACAGAATCTTTTAAGTTGGGTGTTATTTGGAGTAGTTGGACTGGAATTGTGACACTTTCTATGAGGTTTTCAAGGCCTTGGGTTCTCTGCTATTACATTTTCTCTCTTTCTCTAATGCATTTCAAGGCCATTTATAGGTTAACAACTTTTTTTTTTTTAGTAACTATAGCCCAAAACTCTTTTCTGAGCTTCAGACTTATATCTGTTTCATTTTGGCCCTCATGGATTTGGGAAGACTCAATCAGGGTTCTCAACCTTCCCCTCCTGTTCCAAGCTGTCTCCCTACTCTCTTATTAGAGCATCCACAGAGTTCCTCGAGCTATAAACCTGGGATTCACTCTTGATTATTTTCCTTCAATCCCAGTATTGCTCTTCCTTTACCTCCAGTACTAAATCCCAATTATGCTATTCTTCCTGTAAGATATATATATATATATGCAATTATAGCTGTATATGCATATACATATTATATATATGTGTGTGTATATATATATATATATATATAATGCATATATAAATGTTTCCACTCATTTCATTGTATCTCTGCTAGTACCACATTCTCTAAGCCAGTGGTTCTCCAAGTACTATCATCATAGCACAGGTACTCCTTCAAAAGACAAAAATTTGGGTCTCCTTGCACTCCCAGATGTCCTGAATCAGAATCCCTCAGAGCGGGCCCAGCAGATGTGTCCCTACAAGCCTTCCAGATGGTTTCTGTCGCACACTGAAGTGGAGAACCCCTTCACTAAGCCACCCTCCTTTAGCTCGACAACTGCAATGTAATCTTCATTAGTCTTTCTATTCCCATGCCTGCCCTTTACTATTCATTACCTTCTCGGCAGACAAAGTAATATTTTATTCCCAATTCTGAGCCAGTCACTCCTTTGTTTAATATTTCCTCATGGTTTTTAAATGCACTCAGAATAAAATCTTTAAAATATTTACCGTGGTCTCCCAGGAACGGCTCTGGCTCCTACCTACTGCCCTAACTTCTCTCATCCTTCCTCCCCATCCTCTCCCTTAGCGACACCATCGCTGTGTTTACTTCTGATCTGCTCCGTGGATCATTCTCTCCCCATCATCTGCTCCTCATCTGCAAGGTCTTTCTTCACCATTCTTTCTCTCCTGCCATGCCTCTTACCACACTTTGGAGTTTTCACACTCATATCTCTTGTTTACCATGTAATGCTATTCAAGATCTTCAATTATGTACAAACAAGAACCATGTTTGTCTTGATTTCCATTGTGCACCCACTGCTTTGTACAATGCTTATTGCAGGACAGGTACTTAAAAGTACAAAAAACAAAACAAAGACTTGTTGAATGGCTGATAAACACAATTTGTATTAAAATACAAACCAAAGAGCAACCTTCCTGTCAGCTCACTGGGATGGTGGACACTGAGAGGCAAAGAACTGAACAGATACAAGCAGAACCAAGTGGGACAATGTGCAAAGGATGTAAATGGCCTCTCATGGCTTGACCAACCCATCTCATGCACAATCCTCTCTTCTAAAAACCATAACCCAAGCTGTACCGGCCCCAAGATGTCTATTCTGTGTGTTATGCTAAAAAATCCCCACACTCTCGGAATACATGTAAAAAAAAAAAAAAAAAAGATACACTATGGCTGTGAAAAAAAATAAATAAATAAAAAAATAAAAAAATAAAAAGAGAGAAAGAACCTGAAAAAAAAAAAAAAAGACAAAAGAATCATCTAAACTATCATAGATGTTCTAAACCTAATTATTACTGATTCTAAAAAAAAAAAAAGGAAAAAATTCGAGATTTAACTCAACAAATGTTTGTTGGGCACTTACTATGTATCAGGAACTATTTCAGGTTTTATGGCTGGACACAGAGTAAGAAAAAAAAAAAAAAATCCCCACACTCTCAATCATTTCCAAAGGGCCTCCTAAGGTCTACACCAGTAAAGGCTAATGGCATCATTTCCAGGTTTGGAAGACATTAGAAGGACCTCTCTGGGATAGAGCTTGTAATGGTTCATTTTATGTGTCAACCTGAATGGGCTATGGGTGCCCTGGTATGTGGTTAAACACAGCGGAGGGTGTTCCTGGCTGATATGCACATTTGAATTGTTAACTGATTCAAGCAGATTGTCCTCCCCAATGTGTGTGTGCCTTAAACAACCTGTTGAAGAGCTGGACGGAACTGAAAGTCTGAGCCCGAGAGAACCCTCTTTCTCTCTGCCTGTCTTTGAGCTGGGACATCAGTCTTCTGCTGCCTTTGGACTCAGACTGGATCTTAAGCCATTGAGTCTTCTGGATCTCTGGCTTGGCAACTGCACATCTTTGGACCTCTCAATATTTATGATAAATGTGAGCCAATTTCTACTATCTATCTATCTATCTACCTATCTATCTATCTATCTATCTACTGACCTATCTTATTGGTTGCTTCTCTGGAGAACTCATAGTAATACAGGGCTCTGATGGACACAAGACAATCACACATTGTATATATTACTATTTCAAAGTAGATCTCTGGATCTAAGGAGCCCTACCTGATTCATAAGCCCAACCCAATGTACTTGTCCACAGCATCCCAGGTGAACTTTATATGCGAGCTCAAGGCCACATCAAGGAATCTGCTGTAGAACTTCTTGAAGTACAACCCCCCAGTCGACACATTTCAAAAAAAGAGGCCCTACAGCATCCCTGCCACAGCCCCCAGGCTCCAGGCTTGGGCCTGGACAGTTTACATTCTGTCCCAGGAGGGGAGAAAGAGGAGCTGCACGGGGCCCAGCCAGGGTGGAAGGACCCTGGCCCAAGTGTTCTTTATTCCTCGGGAAGACAAGCATACTCATTTAGACTAAACATTAATTTGAAATAGGGCATTGTAAGTATTGTTAGAAGCACATTATTGAATGTTGAACCTAAAATGGTAAGAAATTAAAACACAAATAAATAAAAAAGGGGCTGAAGAGCTGTCAGTTAACACCTAGGCAGGCATATTTCAAACTTCAGAAGAATATAAATGCTAACCAGACAAGGCCACTCCATGACTATGTGGGAAGAAGACAAAGCAAGACCACTCAGCCACCATGTGTGAAACTAGACACACAGGACACTCTGCAACTACAAAAATATCTAGACATCTCCCTTTTCCAGTTCACACGAGGTCAAACTGTTTCGTTATTAGTGACCATTCTTGCCCAGCTCTTATCCTCCTATCTCCTAGTTCAAAATCACCAAGACACCCAATCATTATATTGTCTCTACTTCCTAAGAATGGCCCGACCCAAAACTGGTCCTTGCTTCCCAAAACCGCCTTAGAATTACCCGACTCAGCAAATCTCATCTGAACGCCTCCACCCTGAAGAAGCTTTGCTGGCAGGAGTTTGTTTTTCATGCAGTGAGGTAAATACACCTTACTGTGTTTGAGTACAGGTGAGTTCCTGATGGGTTTCCTGATGAACTCTGACATAACCTTGCACAAAGAACTGGTTACCCACTCAAGGTCACGCTTTTGAATGAAAGAGAGGTTATGGAAATTAGCTAACACTGATATTACCCAGAGAACCTCAGTGTAAGTCAAAGTGACTCAGTAAAATGAATTAAAAGAAAAAAAAAATTTATGAGCAAATAAAGGAAAGGAGGAAGGAAGGAAGGAAAAATAATTTGAGCATGAGAAAGAGCTCATGAAAGTACTGAAGTATTAGCTGGTACCTTGTTGGTTAAGCAACTCGAGCCTCAGTTTCAATGAGATGATTCACAGATTTGCCCAGGTCACAGTCAGGCATGAACTCCACACACATGCCCATCACCGCCATCATCATCAGTGCTCTGACTGTTGTATTATTATGGTTATCAGTCCCTGCTGATGCTCTTAACAAGCTGCAAGCACACTTGCCGATACTCATACACATATCTGCCTCATGGAGCATATTAAAAATCTGCTCACTCATTTCATAAGCAAAGGAAGAAGGACAAGCAAAACTCACATTGAGCTGCAGTTCATCGGTCCACTGTCCGATCAGTCGGTAGCCGGGGTTGGTGGTGTTTGTGGTCTGATACTGGAAGATGTCATAACGCCCAGGGGCATCCCCGTTCTTGTTAAACATGACTGGGGTGCCCGCGCTACCTGGGGAAGAAAAGACAATGACAGATTTTATAGTTAAACAAGATTCCGTCGATCTCTCGTGCCCTGGTGAATAGTCTGAAGACCTGGTGATGAGCAAGGTAGGCTAGAGGTAGCCCTGCTGTTTATCAGGTTCCCCCAACATGCTCCCTGAAACTCCTGGGCAAGTCATCACTATGCTCTGTGAATGCTCAGTAGAGAAGGTGGGAAGACAATCTGTTTCCCCCTTTGAACAGCTCAACTCTTTAATGTCTTAAAATATTTTATTCTACTTTGTCTTCCCTTATAAGGAATAAAAATTAAATGCATTATTTTTCAGAGAAAATCTTAAGCTTTATTGTTGTTGTTACTATTATTATTTTAGTTTCTACCAAACACTAAATTGCGCTCAATAAAGAATCAAGACATAATAAATATATTTTTTAAATGAAATACAAGAGAAGTGAAAAACAAGCTCAAAAGTTCACTTAAATACATAGTTGAATACTGATTGCATTTTAAAAGTATTATTGGCTGACTATTTCTAATTGGCTTTAAATGATAAGCAGGCTGAAATGCTTAGCAGTTTGCCTGGTGAATGCTTAACAAACAATGGATTCTTTCTCAATTTTCTATTTGGGTCTTACTTAAAATGCCTATCTTAAGACTGAAAACAATTTTTGGAACAATTAGATAGTGAAGCCAATTTCAAAAGACTAATGCATTGTTTTGAAAAAAATATATAACTTGAAAGTTGGATATGAGTGAAAAGTTCCTTAATATTAACCATATTGAACAAGAGACAAACTATATACAAAGAATAAAAGATGTGAATTTTAGTTACCTTACCAACAGTTACAGAAAAATCACCAGAAGTTTATAACTGAGTGCTATTTCTCTCATGATCTCTGAGAAATAGGAAAAATATCACTGGCTTCAGGGTATGTGATTACTGTCTGCTCTGCCTATGAGTTAATACATGATCCGTACTTCCAACAGAAAACAGTGCTCTATTTCCTGTGGTTTACAAGGAAGTTCATAGATCAATTACAGGCTGAAACAGAATCACTGAGAATATTTTGCTATTTTTAGAGGAGGGGCCAAGCAAATCTTAGGTAAACAGATGAAGCATTTTCAATAATTCTCATTAAAAATTTTAAGATGCTGATGGTGGCAGAGCTTTGCATCTGGCTAATACTCACTAGCTTCTACAGAACTTGGGCCAACATGGTATTTGAGTTAATGACATGGATGAAAGAACTAAGGCGTGTTAACTGAAGAGGAGAGAGAATGCTGGATACAGTAAGAAAGGATGTCTTCTTCAGGAAGGGCTTCCCAGACAGTGCAATGGCAAAGAATCCACCTGCCAATGAAGGAGATGTAGGAGACTCGGATGCCATCTCTGGGTCAGGAAGATCCCCTGGAGTAGGAAATGGCAACCCACTCCAGTATTCTTGCCTGGAGAATCCCATGGACAGAGGAACCTAGAAGACGATGTAGAGTCCATGGGATTGCAAAGAGTCAGACATGAATGAGCACACACACACATGCACACACACTTCAGGAAGCAAGCGTGATGCTGAGAGTGATCCCACACAAACGACCAATCAACACAATAATGAAGTTTAAAAAAGGGTCCAGAAAGTAGGACAATATACTCAGTGACAAGAGGTATACAGAACTGTAATCTGGGACTGACAGTTACCCCTGCTAGAAGAGACGGTCCAGCTTGTAGACAGGGTACAGAGACAACTAAAAAGAACTCTACACTATCCGACAAGTGTCAGGCATGGACTTTTATGACACTTCTGCCTATTAAAAAAAAATCAGAGCTTGTGACAGGACGTATAATGGTACCCCAGGCAGGTCCAAGTTCTAACCCCTAGAACCTGTCAATGTTACCATACCTGGCAATGAGATCTTGCAGGTGTGATTACATGAAGGATCAGGAAATGGGAAGGATTAACCTAGATAATCTGGGTGGGGCCCAGGGTAATCACAGGGGCCCTTATAAGTAAAGCTGCTGCTGCTGCTGCTAAGTCGCTTCAGTCGTGTCCGACTCTGTGCGACCCCATAGACGGCAGCCCACCAGGCTCTGCCATCCCTGGAATTCTCCAGGCAAGAACACTGGAGTGGGTTGCCATTGCCTTCTCCAATGCATGATAGTGAAAAGTGAAAGTGAAGTTGCTCAGTCATGTCCGACTCTTCATGACCCAATGGACTGCAGCCCACCAGGCTCCTCCGTCCATGGGATTTTCCAGGCAAGAGTACTGGAGTGGGGTGCCATTGCCTCCTCCCTATAAGTAAAGCAGCAGGAGTCAAAAGAGAACGATGTGAGGATGAGAAAAAGAGGTTGGGAAGACAGAAGAAAGGACTCCTGAGTCCAGGAGAGCAGGTGGACTCTAGAAGCTAGAAAAACCGAGGAAGCAGATACTCAGAGCCTCTAAAAGGAACCAGCTCTGTCTTCACCATAACTGAAACTCAGCTGGACCTGTATCAGACTTCCAAACTACAGAATTGTAAGGTGATAAACATGTGCCATTTAAGCTATTAATACCAAATATATGTCTTGAGTTTGAGCACACTTCGGGAGATGGTGAGGACAGGGAAGCCTGGTGTGCTGCAGAACATGGGATCACAAAGAGTTGAACATGACTTAGAGATTGGACAACTACAATCAAATATATGGTAGGTTTTTAATGGTAGCAATAGGAAACCAATCTAGACCTGGAGGGCACAGAACAATAAACTTCCTAACTTTACAGGTGAGGAAGGCTACTTTAGGTTCAGAGAGGGCAAGTCACTTGCCCAGGTCCACTCAGCTCATTAAACTAACAGAGTACACAGCAACTGGCCTTGGAATTCACTAGAAAGGCTTTAAATCCCAGGTCTAACACTTCCTACATGTGTGACTTGAATCAAATTATTCAGACTCCCTCTACTTCCTATTGTAAGTAATAACACCTCTCTCAAGAGATTAGAGAGAATTAAATGCAATAATGTACACAGGTGCTTAGTCTTATGCCATAAATACTCAATAGACAGTCATTTTTTTAAATAGCTTTCACTTTTATTATCATTTTCTTTGCTAAAATCTCAAGACCAGACGTGCATACACACGTGACTTTTGTAATCTTTTGTGTGTGTGTGTGTGTGTATTTTGCTGCATTGGATCTTAGCTGAGGCACGTAAGATCATCTTTCTTTGCTGTGCTGTGTGGAATCTTTCAGTTGCAACCTGTAGGATCTAGTTCCCTGACCAGAGATTGAACCTGGGTCCCCTGTATTGGGAGCATGGAGTCTTAGCTACCGGACCAGGGAAGTCCTCCCAGACTAATCACTTTTCCCAATGCATCAAAGTTGTCCCTTCTAACTGGTATTTAATTTAAATTTCTCCACTGGTGTAAACATTAAAAAAACAATCTTCCAAACAGCAAGCGAGAATCCATTCTGGGAATGGGCATTCATCTATTAGTAACACTGATTTGATCCCAGGAACTTGAATCAGTGGCTGAATCTGTGTGTGGCCAAGGGCCTCATTTCACTGTGTTTCTTCTCCACTTCACCTAGACACTATCTCCAGAGGCCACAGAGACACCCCCTAAGCCCTCTCTGTGTAGGGATCAATAGAAGTCTTTCTTATTATTTTTCAGAAAGACATCACTATTCAAATACAGCTCTTTTCTTTCACATTGGATACTAGGATTCAAGTGTGCTTTGCTATAATTCTGCAGCTTCGGCTCATTAAATAATAGGATGGGAGCTTTTCAGAGTCTGTGAGAGGACAGAGGAAGAATATCAGAGGCCTGGGGGTGCCAAAGGATCTCAGCCTACACGGTAAATATTCATGAGAAAGGTACAGCCTGCCTCATCTCTCTCCCTCCTTACAATCCTTTTGAGGAGAAATGATTCTTGTAGCGCCCTTTGCATGCTCATTAAAGATCATTCTTAAAAAAATATAAGGCAGAAGAGCTGAACATGTTGCCTAAGTGATGTGTAATGTATGGTGTGGCTCTGACCTTTTTGACGGATTCTACAATGCAACTGGCATATTTTCTTTTTAACAGTTCCCCCTCACCCTGCCCTCACATACACAAAACTCCTTTTTAACATCACCCCTGAACTTCTTGAAAGAGAAAAAAGGGGATTTGTGTTCAATGAAATCTGTATCAAAAAAAAAAAGATCAAACAGCTTCAGAGGAAATTTATTTCATTAATAAATTTTCAAAGGACAAGTGATGCTCTGCAGAAATGTCTACAATGTATCAAGGCCAGAAGAGAAGCGTCCTAAGAGGAAGCAGGGCCACTTGATCAGATGGGATGCTGAAAGGAGAGAATAGGTGACGGAATCCATGCAAGTAGGAAATCTTCCCAGATGAGTGTATCCGAGTGAAACTCCTTTTTTTTTTCCGGGATGGAGAATGATTTGGGATGTAGGCTGCTCCAAAGACAAAAGAGCCTTTTGGCATCAAAGCCCTGACCTGATAGGCTTTCTCTTCTCTTTTTGCCAACCCATACACAGGTTTCAGAAACGTAGGATTGATTTGTGTTCATTACTTTTTACTGCTCAACAAACCACCCTAAGAGGGAGTGCTCAAAAAAGGACAACATGTATTTTGCAATTTGGGAAGGGCTTGGCACAAGCCCTTGGCTAGGGCTTCCCTTGTGGCTCAGAGGTTAAAGCGTCTGCCTGCAATTTGGGAGACCTGGGTTTGATCCCTGGGTTTGGAAGATCCCCTGGAGAAGGAAATGGCAACATACTCCAGTGTTTTTGCCTGAAGAATCCCATGGATAGAGGAGCCTGGTGGGTCGCAAAGAGTCAGACACGACCGAGCAGCTTCACTTTCACTTTGGCACAAAAAAGGCCTCTCTGGGGGCTTCCCTGGTGGGTTAGTGGTGGAGAGACCATCAGCTGGCACAGGTGACACAGTTTCGATCCCTGATCCCAGAGGGTCACACTTGCTCTGGAGCAACTAAGCCTGGGCACCCCAACTATTGAGCCTGTGTTCTAGAGCACAGGAGCTG